GGAAGACCAATCCGACGCTACGATTCCGATTGGGCCACGCCTCCCATGCTCAGAGCCCCTCCCAGGAAGGTCTCCGGTCATCTCAGAGCCGCCCCTTCCGCCTGCGCCTCGCCCAGCCAGGCCGGCGCCGGAGCTGGGTCAGCGCAGTCAGTGAAAGCAGTGTACCGCCATCTTTTTTGTGGGCAAAGAGTCCTTCGAGGTTTATGTTTCCAAAGTAGGCTTCTCAGGAAGCCCATAGAGAGACGTTCGAAAGAGAATGGGCTCCTTGCACACTGAAATACTGAGCCGAATGGTTGGGGGTCGAAGTGGCAACCCATGAAACCGAGAATAAACGAGAGGCCTGCCCTGAGTAAAGGTGGGTGCCCCAGGAATCACGTGCTCTGTCCCGAGCTCCTCCCCAGAGGGATGGAAAGGGAGGCGGGTTTTCCAGGCAGCTGTGCTGTGCCTGGAGCTGCGTAGTCCTTATCCAGAATGTGCATCTCCGAAGGGATTCCCTTCAGTCTCCATTCCTCCACCCCCCCACGGTCTACTCTCCCATCCTTCCTTTGAGATGCAGATGCTGCAGGCGTCTTTGGTTGAGCCACCACCTCTTGGCTTTCTATCCCACCTTCCAAGAGTAAAGGAAGGTTATTTCTAAAAATGAAGATCCAGTCATAGTCCTGCTATGCTTATATCTTTTTAAATGGCTGTCCGTTATCTAGGGATTAAAGACTAAACTTCGTAGTTCAAGCCTTCTCTCGTCTTGTGGGCAGTAATCTCTGTCTTCTTCCATGCCCTTATGGTCTCCACTTGGCAAACTCTTTATTTCTTCAGAGGAGTCAGTCCCCAAACTACCTACTCTGCCTTCTGAATTCTTTTTTTACAGACCATGCACCTGTACATGGATACAGCTTTTGCTTGTATAATACATTGTTAGCTTATGTCTCTAAACTGGTGCTTGATCTAAAGCAGTGGTTCTTAATCTGTGGGTCGCGACCTCTTTGGGGGTTTCGAATGACCCTTTCACAGGGGTCGCCTAAGATTTATCAGAAAACACAGATATTTACATTTCATAACAGTAGTAAAATTACAGTTTTGAAGTAGCAACGAAAATAATTTGATGGTGGGGTGTCACCACAACATGAAGAACTGTTTTAAAGGGTTGCAACATCTGGAAGGTTGAGAACCACTGCTCTAAAGAGTTGACATTGAAGATGGGAAGCACCAGGGAATGAATCTTGAATGGAAACATACATGGATAAACCAGCAATAATGAAATCTTTCCTGACAGCTCCTACTTTCAAATCTGAATCAATAATTTAGTTCCTTATGCCATTTGGTTTGGAGCACACTTCTCAATGTTTTACCATATTGGTTGGTTGCTGCCTAGTCAAGGACCTTGTGTCATTGTCTTTGCATAGTCCTACTATTGTGCACTTCCCTGGGGCCTGAAGTAATATGTTGTCCTCAGCATAAGCTTTAGATGTTCATTGAGTAAATAGTTTTCTTTCATTGGGAAATGAAAACTGAAGAAAGAATGAAACTAGAGTAGAACCCTAGATAATTCTAACAAAAATAAAAAATTAAAATAGTATTGATCCAGTGTGGTGGCACATGCTTTTAATCCCATCACCTGGGAGGCAATGGCAGTGGATTTGTGTGAGTTCTAGGCCAGCCAGGATTATAGAGTGAGACCCTATCTCAATCATCATCTTTTAGTCCACTTTAGCCGCTCATCCTGACCTACCTTCTACAACCATTCTCTCAGTTCTCCCAACCCTTTTTTTGTTTGTTTGTTTGTTTTCAAGACAGGGTTTCTCTGTGTAGCTTTGGAGCCTGTGCTGGAACTCACTCTGTAGACTAGGCTAGCCTTGAACTCACAGAGATTCACCTGCCACTGCCTCCTAAGTGCTGCGTTTAAAGGCATATGCCACTACTGCCTGGCTGTCCAACACTTTTATATGGCTTACCTATGTGGACCCTCATTCGGGGGTTTTATTTTCCTTCCCTGTATATGTATCATAGTTATCTCTGTAGTTCTGGGAGTTCTTTGAGCATAGGTATTGCTGGATCTTACTCTGTTGTTACCCACTTCTGCCCCCTGTCACACACACACCCTGAGACTGACTCAGCTAGGTACTGTTTCTTCCAGAATGATTTCCATAACGTCACCTCACTAAAGTCTTTTAGATTCCTCTTTTAAAATTTCTACTAGCTATCAGTAGGTTAGTTTCTTATGGGCAGAGACCGTGTGAGATTTGTCTTTATATGTTGCCAGTGACCAGTAGAGGATCTGGCTCAGAACAGACTCAGGACATGTTTACTTAATGAATAGATGCATGTTCTATGTCCAGGAGGTGGTTATGGGTCTCTTGGAGCTATCAGTTCTTCTCAGTATCTAAAATGGGAATTGTGGCTTAGAGTAAACTTGTCTGCCCTTAGAACCTGAGTTTGAATCTCAGCTCTGCTACTTACTCCTTGTGCAGCCTTAGGCATCACCACTACAAGTTCTTCCTTCCCCATAGATAAAATGTGGACAGCATTCTCCAACCTCTTGCTAGGTTAATGAGTTACATGAAGTCTGGGGTCTGTATAAGTGCTGTGCCCATATTCAGTGCTCAAGATGTTGGTTACTTATTAGCATATTGAGTTCAGGGAGTTACTTAAGCTGAATATTTTATGTAGAAGAAGTTGCATGAACCAAGTGCCTAGGAACCTCTCTTGGTTTGCAGGTGGAGTCAGGCCAAGATCCACAGTCAGTGTTTCTACACCTAGATCAGTCTGATCATTTAAGGTTTGGTCTGGGCTGATTAGGATGATCACTGGGGACATCTGAGTCATCAAGGGTCAGTTTGTGGTTAGGCACTGTGAGGAAGCAAGATGGAAGAAGAAACCATTCTCTTAAATCTGTTGCATACTCAGAAACCCAGGTTATTCAACCCAGGACTACCCTTCTTGAAAACATTGTGGCCTCAGAAACTGTCCTCTGGTAACCATGGCAACAATTCAGCAGCTCCATTTGGGATCTTTAAAGGGATCTACAGTTGCAAATAAGAGCTGGCTGGAACACTCTGCTGGAGGTAGGAGTCCCTTCCATGGACTGTGCTCACCAGGAAGCTTGCAGGTTTCAGGGAAAGCATACTTTGCCCATACATTAAGGTGCTACCAGGTTCAAAAATAAATTTTACAAAGCTCTCTTCCTGTCTAGAATACAGACACACCCTCACAGAAGCTGTAGGCTAGAGAATGCCTATATCCTCCTAGCTGCTGCCCAGCCCTCTCTAGGAGGGCTTTCCAGGAAGCAGTGTTAATGTCTGCTTCACTAGCCTCTTCTGAATCTTGGCAGATGACATAAATCTCACCACATAATCACACAGGGTGAACACTGGCCCACTAGAGCTCTAATGTCCTCACCAGTGCTTTGAAACATACATTGCCAGCCATTTCCAAATAGCCCACACCCAAGCTATCTAGAAGCCTGTCTAATGACTTTAGCAATCACAGCCTACACCTAAGGCTGTTTATATTGTACTATGTAATCCATAAGGTACCATAGACTAGTATGAGACCCACAAGGGTTGTACAGTATATAGGCTTTGCTACCTTTCCTTTCTATAAAACACTAGGACATATTATAAAATAAGGCACTCCTACAGAAAAAGCCACCATCAATGACATAAGCTTATATTCACACATTCGGAAATATTTAAAGCAGTTGATCTTTTAGAGTCCGCAGGCCAGGAGATTTCTAATTGAATCGAAGGACTCGGTGTCCTTATTGGTTTTAGTAAGAAGGTAAGTCTAGACAGGTATATTGTCGGACCACACAGGAAATTAATACTCAACAGCTACTTGGCTAGCAACATTAATGAGCTTTCTAATAAAATGCCAAAATTACTTTTTAATGAATGCAAAAATTACAAAGTTAAAGGCAACTTCTGTGAAAGCAGAGAGAAAGGAGGGTGGGGTAACTCTTGAAATAGCCTCATTTCTAGGAGTGCCTGCAACTTGCTACCATAAGGTGAGCTGGAAAGAGATAGAACCAATCCCCAGAACAGATCTTTCTCAAATTCCACTTCTGCTCTTCACTAAGACCCAATGTTGGAAAATGGTGTATGTTTACTTAGAACACACTATTTTTAATGACTAATTGCTCAGTTGTCTTTTTCTTCTCTTGCTTGGTGTTCAGCAATGTGTGCAAGTCTCTGAATTTTCCTCCCATCTTCCCATAGCATGCTAGCACAGAGTGCTAGTTAACAAACTGTTTGGGAGGGAACAACCAGCTCCTCCAATGCATCCTTCCTAAAAAACTGGTTTGGAAAGATGAGTCCTAGCATGTGGACATGTTTCTCTTGAAATACCTCATCCTGCAAAGACATAGGTGAGCAAGAGTAGGGCTTGCCCTTTTCAAACTGACATGCATCACACAGGATAATTTGGTGTCTTTGGGTTTTTATTGCTGTGAAGACACACCATGACAATGGCAACTCTTATAAATGAAAACATTTAATTGGGGTGGCTTGCTTACAGTTTCAGAGGTTCAGTCTATTGTCGTCATGGCAGGGAGCATGGCAGTATGCAGGCAGATGTGGTGCTGGGGTAGTAGCTAAGAGTCCTACATCTTGCAGGCAACAAGAAGTTGACTGAGACACTGGACAGTATTCTGAGCCTAGGAAACCTCAAAGCCTACCCCCCACAGTGACACACTTCCTTCAACAAGACCATGCCCACTCCAACAAAGCCATCAAAGAGCTATTTCCTATGAGACTATGGGGGCCAATTCCATTCAAACTACCGCCCTTGAATTCTCTCAGAGCTCCAGCTCCCTATGTGGATAGGCTGCAGAGATATCTAGATCACCTCTTACCGCTTGAGTAGATACACTTTGCTTCTTGCATCAAAATCACGGCTGTCCTGCCAAGTAGCTGCTGTCTCACACCCTGTGGCTGGACTGTAGAATTTTACCTGCACTGCCAGGAAAAATAAGAGCTTTGCAGAGCATGCTGGCAAGCTGGCTCTGTCCAGAGGACAGAGAGCTGGGAGTCAGGGATTACAAATACTGGTAAAACTGGTATAATGATTTCCTCATGAACAGAATTTATTTTACAAAGAGAATGTCAATTCTGAGTTTTATTCTTTTTTTTTTTAAGTGCTATCTATGGGAAAGTGTGACTAAAATAATTCTTTTCTTTCATGTCCAAATTTCTTGCTCTCTTGTTCTTTGAACATGTTACTAACAAACATTAGCCCATGGGAGCTCATCAAATACAGATTCCAAGGCTGGACCCCAAGATACAGGGATTCTTGCTTTTTATGTTTGTTTTTGAGTCAGGGTTTCTCTGTATAGCCCCACTGCTATACAGAACTCACTCTGTAGACCAGTCTGGCCTCAGACTCACAGAGATCTGCCTGTCTCTGCCTCCTGAGTGTTGGGCTTAAAGACTGGCTTATCTTGCATTTTCTTCATACCATCTTTTTATAACATTGCAAAGTAGAAGAGATTTCTTTGTGATGATGTAAGAACACAGAGAAATCAAACTAAGAATTGCTAAAATAATACTTCCCCTTTCTTACATAAAACAGTTTGGGGACTAAAACAGAGCTGGCGCAGGGAGTGGTTTTCAGAACTCATCAGGAACCCAGGTTTCCCCATTCATTGCTCTTCTCGTCTCAAAGTGTGCCTTCCTCCTTAAGGCCAAGATGTGTGATCTGTATTACAGACTTGAGGACAGAGAAAGGGATGAAGAGAGACCCAAGCCTTCTCTTTGAGGAGACTTTTCAGAAGACATAGGCATCAAGTCCATTCTCCCATTGACCACAATAGGCCACATGGCCACACCTTCTATAAAAGGAGCCAGAAAACATGGACTTTGTTGGTGTTCCTGGGTACTCTGTTAAAAGTCAGGCTCTGAGGTTTGGGGAGATGGCTCAGTGGTTATGAGCTCTCACTGCTCTTCTGAAGGTTCTGAGTTCAATTCTCAACACCCACAAGGCAACCAACTGCCTTATGCCCTCTTCTAGTGTGTGGATGTATGTGTTGACAAAGTACCCATGTATATAAAATTCAAGCAAGGTGGGTAATTAAGGGTTGGGCTTTCAGAAGCAGCAAGGTTTAGTAACTTGCTAGAAGTCCTATAGCCACTCATTTCATAGTTGAGGAAACTGAGACCCAACAAAAGGCCTTTTATAAAATAATACAGTTGGTTTTTCACAATTATTGTGACTACATAGTCTCTCCTGGGCCCTGTGACCCTCAGGTTTTATCATGTATTGGAACTACCTAGAGAACTGCTAGACTAGACATTGATTCAGTATGTGTTGTTAGTTTCCCATTAATGTAACAAATACATGCCAAATCATGTGTTTATTTGGGCTTGCAGTTGCAAAAGTTTCAGTCCATGGACACTTGCTGCTGGAAGACATGGGAGAGAGAGTCAAGCTACAGCAGTAAGTTTCCAGGTGATGTTAACAATTCTGATTTGATGAATACACTTTGAGAACTGTAGTCTCAGAGATGTTCTTTTCTGGGCTTACCACGGGCCATGTAGACTCATGTAGCCAATTACACCCATCACCCTCCTTCACTTCTACCCCAGCTCACTTATGATTCATTCTTTAGTCACCTAAGCCAACCTTAGAAGTCATCTCAAGCTCTGTGTTCTTTGTTCTTGAGTTTTTCTCCTTTTTCTTTCCTTGCCATTCATTTTCTTCTCTCCTCCTTTGGTTCAAGTCTGACCATGCCTCACCTTGTTTGTTTGTTTGTTTGTTTGTTTATTTAGCCAAAGCAATCTTCAGGTTTAATGCCTAGCTTTGCTCACAAAATCTTTATGGGGAGTCTAATTATATTACTCCCTGACTGAAATGTTTTCAGCAAGTATCTTATGTGCTCGACTCTGATCAAACCTTGGTGGTTTTCATTCTGGAATCACCATTTACCTTACTTGATATTTTTTTGTTTCTTGATTTATTTTTAAAAAACTTAAGTATATGTTCAAAGAAACAAAGATATAAACACTTAGTATCACTCATTATAGCCAAAGGATGAATCTCAGAAGTATAACAATGGAAACAAAAGAATAGTATTGACTTTCTCCTAGATCCTGTATGTATGTCAAAGGCTATGGGTTTGAGATCATCTGTTTGAAGCAAGAATTAATAAGGTGGGGAAGGGTCTAGAAGACTTTCTAGTCTAAACTGTGAAAAATACTCTTTCTGAAATGGGAAGTACTGGAAAACAATGTCGAAGAACTAAGTTTCTCATTGTGTGATTCAGTGCCTTGCCTTGTCCTACCATAGTCACCTCACCATTGTTTGAAAGCAATGACAAACTCTTAGGACATGGCAAAAGGGCCCATCAACTTGGTGCTTGCCAACCCTCTCCTGCCCAGCACCCTGAAAAACTTGTATCCACATACTGAACTCTCAGCCATAAGTGCCATTTGCTTCAAGGGACAAAATACATGGATAATAGCACTCAACACCATTTGAAGAGATTTCTGTCACACCTGAAGGCTATGTGAGTGTTTGCTGATTCTGGCCAGCCAGTGATATCAGGGGTTCCAGTTGGCATCTCTGGATGTTCTTGGCTTTCTTTGAGGTCTCAAAATGTCGATCCCTGTTCCCAGGCCTAGGTGTCATGCAGTGCCTTTCAGAAATAAGAAATAGGGCTACAAAGAGTCTAATTTCTCCTCACACTGGAGGGTCTTTTTCAATGATCCACCATACCCTTAACAACCTACTGTTAGGCTTTTTTGTGGGAGCTGAGTCAATTACCTGGATCTGGACCTACTTTCCCTTCAATGAGAGGATCCAGCCTCAAGCTGAAACAGTAAGCTTCTGCAGACAGAGGAATAGGAGAAGCCCTGAGAGAACAGGTGTGTCCCGTGCCCACTGCCATCACTGTACAGCTTTGCATCTGTGCCCATTTACCAAGAGCACCTGCTTTGTTTGTCCGGGGCCTTCTCATAAAGGGTCCTTTCCTAGATGCCCTTTTTTGGTCACTAGCAGATGTGGTACCTCCTCTGAGGTCAGCATCCACATTCAGCATGTAGTCTACTGTTGTGTAATCAGCTGTTTAACTCCCACCAGCAATGGCTGCCTCTAAAGCTCAGGGACTCTCTTTGTACCAACCCATGGCAGGCCTTCAATGAGTATTTTTGGAATTAAGGTGTTTTTTTTTCCCCCTTTCTTTTATACAAATCACAAGTAAATCCAAATATTAGGTTGAATTTAGAAAAAAGGAAAACGGAAAAAACTTGAAGCATTTTACAAACAGTACTCCTCACTTTATTGTTCAGTGGGTTTTGCAGGGAGGGGGACACGGCAGTGCCCTAGTAGCATATGTGAAGTTCCTGCTAACATAAAACTTCTGCTCTGCTGTGGATTTCATAGCAGGTCAGTCATTATAAATCCCAGAGAGTTACTTTATAAACAGTAAGCCATCTCAACCTTGTGTAAAACGCATTATACATAATAATTGCTTCACTTGGCCAAATTACTTTAGGCGCAATGCTGCAGCTGCATTAAGCTCTATTGACACGCCCTCCATGTTAAACTGCTCCGTGATGAAGTGGGTTGCTTAGAAGCCACCAGCCAGTGCATGCCCACTCACATGCCTACGTGCACATAATGTGATCACCATCTCAGAACAAGTGCAGAGACAGAAATTGTCTAATGTTAATGAGCACTATCACCTATAAGAGGATGTTCCAGTCTCTAATGTAGTTAAGTCTCAGTAATGGGCGTCTTCAAATGACCCAGCCCCCACTGAAGCACCTTCACATTCAGCAGCCGGTGTAAAGTCTAATAACTCCATAAATATTTTAGCGAGGGAAATAGGTAGCATTATGGTCACACTCTGTGCTGCTGGCAGCCTGGTAGTTAGAAACCACTATGTCCAGAGGTGTAGTAATTCACCATTTGCTGAGAGTTAAAATGAGCAGAGGAGAGCTCAGAGACTCTAGCTCATTTTTTATTTAAAGGTAATTTTTAATCTATTCAGCTTCTTAAGTTCCAAAATTAGAAAGAAAAAAGGAAGAAACATGCTTCAAATGCAGAAATTTAGATACTATATGGAATCTTATTTGACAATAGCTGAGATACAGTTAAAATCTTAGGTGATGTTCTATAACCTATAAGTGCATGGTGACAATTTAAAATTTAGTTTCCTGGTTTTCATGCATGAGTGTGTGTGTGCATGTTTGTATGTATGTGTGTATGTAAATGCATGTGTGTGTGTGTGTGTGTGTGTGTGTGTGTGTGTGTTTTTTTTATTAGTTAAAATTAGAAAAAATC